CAATTATTGTTGTTTCTTTTAGTCTTAGCCAGACACACACACACACACACACACAGAGAGAGAGAGAGAGAGAGAGACACAGAGAGAGAGAGAGAGACAAACGCCCTTTATGTATGTATAGACAGATGAATTGATTGTTTCAAGGACAGTGGTTAGAATTTTTGTTATGGTTTTCACCAGTGTATATATATATATATATATATATATATATATATGAAGAAAAATATAGTTTTAAGGTGTGCTATATTTATGGGTTAAAGTGCTCAATATCAGAGATAGAACGTATGTATAAAATATAAATATAAATGTGAACATTGACAATCACTCAGGTGCGCCTGACGATTGCGTCCAGCATGAAACAGCTTGTCGCCCTAAGTGTTGACTTCAATGTTCACATTTATATTTATATATATATATATATATATATATATATATAGATAGATAGATAGATAGATAGATAGATAGATAGATAGATAGATAAACGTTTTTCTTTTTTTTTAATCGGAATCACTAGGCAGTAATGCCACTAAAACCCAAAATGTTACAGGGTGTAGAAGAATTAGGAACAGAAACATTAATAATGAGCAGGAAGAGAAAAGTGTAATCAGGAGGACAGTAGATAGCAATTGACATTGCATTTAAATTTTTGCATGGCAATAGAGTCACTAAAATACAAGGGGTTACAGGGTATGGAAGAATTAGGAACAGAAACATTAATAATGAGCGGGAAGAGAAAAGAGTAATCAGTAGGACAGTAGATAGCGATTGGCATTGCATTTAAATTTTTGCAAGGGAGGAAAGCCACTAAGACACAAGGGGTTACTGGGTGTAGAAGAATTAGGAACAGAAACATTAATAATGAGCAGAAAGCGAAAAGAGTAATCAAGAGGACAGTAGATAGCGATTGACATTGCTTTTAAATTTTTACAGATTAAAGTTGACTGGAAAACATGGAGCCGGTCGGGATTTCCACAAGCGTGAAGTGTGAGATAATAAACTGTTAGCATAGAATTTACGGCTACATCTCGCCTGCTCAACTGTAAATTGATAAGATCTCGACGCCAGTCTAGGGCTGCGCTTAATTTCGTAAAGTCTAGGTACCTTCGCGAAGAGCTCATTCGAACAATTACCATGAAAATATTTATAGAAAAGGAATAGAGAGGTAACCTTAAGGCGATGGGAAAGTGATTCGAGCTGAGCCGCCTGATCAGGACTAGTAAATGTAGATTTTTCTTTGAATCTTATCAAGGAGTTCAAGGTAAACAGCAGCGGCATCAGGCTATATATGGCAATAATATTTTCAGCATGGACGAATGTTAGGCTAACCACTCGACCACGCGCATTCATAATCGAAGATTACTGAATGAGGTGTATGATATGCGTGTAAGAGGTGGTAGGAAGTGAATCTTATATGGATAGGAAGGATAGATAACGTTTGATTCTTGACTTGAAGAGGTCAAGATTATAGCGTAGTTTACTGATAAAATGTTTAGGATTAATAAGTTGTGCGATATGAATGAAAGAGGAGGTGGCGGGAAGCAAAGAACATGGGACTAAAAAGGATACGTAAAATTGGACCCCGACCTCAGGAGGTTAAAACGATAGAGCCCATAAAAAATACGCATGCAAGTCCATTTCACGGAGTAGTAGTTCTTGAGGAAAAAAAAAGCTGTCAGTGCAGAACTTCCTCCAAACAATCGCAATAAACGGGAAATAAGAGCGAGTCGATATATAACACTTACAAATGGCGCATATAATGCTTTTCAATCAACAGGAATAAATAAAAACACGTAAATCTAAAATTGTTTCCATTAAAATTTCAGCTTCTACGCCATTTTAAAAAATATGGATATTTAATAGAAATTGCTTTTATTTGAAACTGAATTCTCGAACAGAGTTCTTTATTGAGATTAAGATTTTACCATTTCTACGCCATGGAGACGACACGGGTATTACGTTCTTCATAATTTTCCAATTCTATTCTATTCGATGTCGCCACGACACGTCTCGTTACCTATTGAAAAACTTGGCTATTAAAATCAATATACGCTTGCCTGGATTCAAATATAATTTGTGGACTCGACATTTTTCTTGCTAGCTGGCTGAACAGAATAAACGTTGAGATTCAACCAATTCACTGCGTGATTTATACAACATAAACGAACATTTTTTTCTTCTATTTAATGACGTGTTTCCTATCAATACCACTGGCCTCTTGTTTAAAAGAAACTGTTTCTCTCTGAGAATCGCTGATTATATTTTTTACTATTTATTTATATTCAGACTATTGGTTTTATCTTCGTTGTTGCTATCACAACGTACAGGCCGTTGTGCCCACCGGCCTTCTTCGGTTCTATATCGATCTACAGGGAATTCTGAACTGAACCCATTATTTAATCTACAAAAGTAGACTGTTCTTGTTCCACTTCCCATATCTAAGTATATCACGTCGAGTTTTTATTTTTAGTACTGCTCAGTTAATGTTCGTCCAATTACTATGGACTTGCAATCACCGTGTGACCAAATTCAAGAACCAATACTTTAATCCACTATGGACTTGCTTAAACCTAACACCTCTTAATTAGTGATAACCAAATGTTTTTTATGCGCCATGTTTCTTCTGGGATACTTAATCCACTTGTAAATTTAAGCAATTTTTGTCCTGTATTTGTTTTAAGTAGTATTTTTTCTCTTGGAGGTTTTAGTATCAAAATCCCAAAGCTCTCTTTTCTTTTTTATATATCCCCGAAATTTCAACTGTTTATTTGTCAATTCTGTGTTTGAATGTCTTTTCGTTTTCATTTTCTTGAAACTTCCTTTGAGATGCTCAAATGCTTTCTCATCATTTTTCTGTAGAACCATATTTCTGTTACCTCAAGTTCTTTTTGAGGAAATAGTCCGGTATTCGTTGTTATAATAGAGGATTGTTACATTGCAGTCCATGTTTTCTTTGCTTCTGGCGAAAATCACTTGTTTCTTAATATTTTAGCATATTTCGCTATTCCGAAATCATCTTTTGAAATGGTAATTTTAAAGGAAACTTTCCCCTTTGCAGACCACCATAGTAACAATTCAAAAATATTTTAATGTAACAGATGATTGGTTGATTTTCTTATTGATAACCAATTCTATAATCCACTAGGTCATTGTCCTGTCGGACTATTGCTGTAGTGAACTTGGAGACATAAACCTAACCTGCCTGTTAATTGGTACTGTAACTACTGATGCTTATGCTACCTGTCATGTTTTGATTCTTGCTGGGTTTTTATGCGCCATGTCTCTTCTGGGAGTGTCGATCGTGGCTTTCCACTACGTCCATTTCGTTGTAAATTTAAGCAATTTTTGTCCCCTTGCCATCTGTTTACACAAGCATTTTAAGTAGTATTTTCTCTCTGCGCTTCTTGTATTTAAGGTTTTTAGTGTCAAAATCTCCAAGCTCTCTTTCTTTTTTATATATCCCCGAAATTTCAACTGTTTATTTCCAATTCTATGTATGAATGTCTTTTTCGTTTTCATTTTTCTTGAAACTTCCTTGTTGCTCAAATGCTCTGCCCATGGTATTCTCATCATTTTTCTGTAGAACCATATTTCTGTTACCTCAAGTCTCTTTTATTGCTAGCATCTTTTTTTTTTCAAAAATGTATTGCTGGTAATAATTTTTTCCTGCAAAAATTAATTGCTGATAATATTTTTACTAAAATGTATTGCTGGTATTGAAACCCATTTTTACACTTTCATAGTGTTTTGATCACAATTTGGGGGTTAAATATTTGCCCATAGCTGGGACCCTAACAGGTGCTATTACCCCGGGTCATAGTGGACCTGGAAAACCAGCAATTTAGTTCCACGCTCCTCAAAACCTCCTGATCAGAGGCCTTGATGTTGGATGTTATTTATCGTCTTACCTAGGACGCAAATGTTGGTTATCGTCTTACCCCGGATGGGCTTTGGGGTATAGGACACCATCCTGCATAAACATCCTCCAACTATATGTGAATTTGAATCCCTAGTTAATCCCTAGTAAAATCTGTAACAGTTCCTGATACTTTTGACCATTCATGGTTGTTCCAGGGTCCAGGAAGTACAAACTAGCAATTCCAGATTCACCTCCATCTTTCGTAGGTTGTATGCTATATTTTTCATCATATCTCTTTCATGGAGGCCTTCTCACATTAACGCTGACTCACAAGAAACTATTGCAATGGGAATTCATCACTGAAGATAAATTTTCTGCAGTTTCTTTTTGCCAAATTTTAATGCATGTTGGATAATGTCGGATGCTTCTTCTTTATTTCTAAAGTTAATCCTTATTTTCGGGCAGATTTTGCAAGAAACTCTCCTATGACTTGCATCTGTTGCCCTACGAGGAAGAGCAGCTCGAATGTTTGCATGAACTTGTTCAAGATTGGTGAATCGATGGATTTAATGATACGATCATTTGTATGGGTGGTTTTGCTGGAAGGTCCACTTTTCTTTCGACTAGAATAAGAGCCAACAGTACTTGGCACTTGGCGACAGCATTATGAAATGCAGTCTTGCTAAAACCCATTTGGATTGAGATTTCATGCTCTGAATAGCCAAAGAAAGAAAGAAAGATATAAAGAAAGAAAAGTGTCCAAGAAAGAAAGAAAGAAAGAAAGAAAGAAAGAAAGAAAGAAAGACGAGAATATGAGTGATAAATTGAGAGATGAGGAACTGAGAGAGAAAGTGCGAGATGAGTAATTGAAAGAGAAAGAGTAAAATGAGAAAGACAGAAAATGAAAGATGAGAAATTGCAAGAGGAAGAGAGAAATGAGAAACTGAAAAAGAGAGAGAGTCATGAGAAATTGATACAGAAAGGGTGAGATAGGAAAGTGTGAGAGAAAGAGAGAGATTACAAATTGGGAGAGAAAAAAGAGAGATGAGAGAGAAGGAGAGAGATATGAAATTAAGAGAGAAAGACAATTATGAGAAATTGAGTAAGAGAGTGATATGAAATGGAGAAAGCGAGCGATGAGAAATTAATAGAGAGAGGAGAAACTAAGAGAGAAAGTTGATGTGAAATTAAGAGATAAAGAGAGAGAGAAGAAACTGAGAGAGAAAGGTGGAGATGCGAAATTAAGAGAGAAAGAGAGAGAGGAGTAACTGACAGAGAAAGGTGGAGATGAGAAACTAAGAGAGAAAGAGAGAGAGGAGAAACTGACAGAGAAAGGCGGAGATGTGAAATTAAGAGAGAAAGAGAGAGAGAGAGAGGAGAAACTGAGAGAGAAAGTTGGAGATGCGACATTGAAAGAGAAAGAGAGAGAGAGTGAAGAAACTGAGAGAGAAAGGTGGGGATGTGAAATTAAGAAAGAAAGAGAGAGAGGAGAAACTGAGAGAGAAAGGTGGGGATGTGAAATTAAGAGAGAATGAGAGAGAGGGAAAACTGAGGGTGAAAGAGATAGATGCGAATAGGAGAGAAATTGGAGAAAGGGAGAAGTAGAAAGAACTAAACAATTGAATGAAAAAAAAAAGAATAGTTTAATCTTTGCACAAGAACATGATGGCGAAATCTTCGTAAAAATGGAATATAACCAATAAATAAATAGAAAAGGAACAAAAAAAAAAGGAGAAATTGAAAATGAAGAACAAAAACAAATTTCGCCAGACAAAAAAAAAACAAACTAAAGACGAGAATGAATCAACAAAATCTTTAAGTGTAAGAAAAAAAAATCAATGGGCTTAAACAGCATTTTTGGACGAACAAGAGACAGATTGAAAAGACAGCTCTTGCTATTGTAGATTTCTAGATGAACGTGATTGAAACCTGTGTTCAGGGAATAGAAGCTCTTTCCTTAGGGTAAATGAGGTTAGCCTTCTTAAAACCAAACAATCAAAACCTGAATACCACCAGGTTTAATGATTAAATTGAATGTTGCTTACAGCCATGTCATGTTGAAAGCGGTGCCTGATCACCGAAGTGAAGCAACGTGAATCAGTTCGGTATTTAGGTGGGTGACCGCTTAGGAACTTCAGGTACCAAAAGCAGCTTGTAACACATTTATATAAATAAGGCATCGTGACAAACTTGATAAGCACTTTGATGGGTTAGCGCTTAACTACAATGAAGCTCATCTATGTGCTAGAGTGAGGAAAACTTAGAGAAATAAGTTGATGAGTCGATCTTTTTTATAAATATACAGACAGACCCCCACTACAACGTTGAACTTTTCATGCAACGGACAAAATTTCTGAGATAAAAAAATTTATGCAGGAAAAAAACTTCCAAATTGTCACGATGTATTTCAAAATTTGTGGGCTTAGGGAACAAGTCGTATTGTTCTCAAAATACTGCTTGGCGGCGGTGGTGGCTTTTCACTTGTAAAGAAAGTCAGGTGTACAGTAAGAAAGTTTTGTACATTTTGTGAAAAAAGATGGTGAAAAAAATCTATTATTTTTGTAGTTTGATTAATATATCTATATTAAGTATATATTTCTTTATGCCATATATACATGTTTATAGTATTTACATTATGATAATAATTACTGGTAGTTACTATAGTGGTTTTATAACTCAAAAATAATCCCTTCCCATCTAGGGACAATCGGACTTAACGGACCACCCCTCCTCCGTATTAGTCCGTTGATGAGAGGTTTCGTTGTACATTATAGCGATAGGAAGAAATGGGTTCCGATTTCATTTGAACGAAAGAAATAAATGAGAATTAAAAGGAAGAATATATTGAAGAATGTGGTCAAAAGTAGTTAGCAACTCTGTTTTGGGACGTAATTTCAGGCTGGGCGTTTCTTCCCTCTACACCGGTTTCTTGTATCTTCCCCTGTATCCGCTTCGTCGATCGTTCTTCCTATCACAATTGTACGTATAGTACGGTGTACCCTGACAGAAGACCTCTCTCATCTCGACGATGGTCTACTTATAATGGGGAATCACCAATCACTTGCATTGATGATAGATATACTAGACATACAGGTACCGCAGAATGGAGTACTAACACACCCCGATCCCCCTCCTCGATTCCGTCCAAGCATGCTAATAGTACACACAATTGCTAATGAACCAATTTTTTGTGGAACAACAAAAACGTAGGGTCTCTTTTGACGGAACGACGTATTTGCCTTCTCTCAAATCGAAGCCCTACATGCCAAAGACGAACTCATGTTCGTCGAGAATAAGGTAAGTTCTGTTCACCGTTTCTGCCATTCGACTCTGGTTGGGCTTCACTATGTCTGCACCAGAAAATGAAGTCAATGACTGTAATGAAAACTCTGAGTTGAGTTCGGCTTAATGTGCCTTTATCGAACGTAACTGAAGAGTTTTGCCATTTTGGCTAAGATGGCATGACTTATTTGTACAAATCATAAGTCAGGGAAGGTAATCTTACGACATTCTCCCCCGCTTTGTTTTCTCCTAGTCCAATACAAAATCATCCAGGTGACTTTTTCTCTTGACAATTCTCTGGGATCGTCTCGATGGCAGCTGATCTGGGCTTTCAGGTTTTAGAGTCGGCCAGAAGTATTTTGTCTCCTATTGTTTTTGTCTCCTTCTTGGAGTGGGACTCTTTGATTCTGAAAGCTGATGATCAGAGTCTGTGGTAGTATGCTCTTGTTTCGAGGGAGCTGGTGTCGTTCTCTGAATCATCACTATCAGGACCTTGTTCCTTGAGAGAATCCAATGGCATTCTGTTCTCGTTACGATCAAGAGCGAGAGATATTGCTTCTGGTCTGATAAGTCGCCGGCAGGGGCTAAATCTTTGTGGGAAACGTTCGATTGTCTCCCTTCGAGGTGCTGGATGCACGCATAGAGTGGGTTCGCCTCGAGCAGTTACACGTTACTTACAGGAGAATTATACTTCCTTTGTCGAACATGGCTTCTAAGTAAAACAATACCTGACTGAGGGAGGGAGATCCCGGCCCAACATCGCCGTGGAAATTTTTAAAAAAACCTTTCGTTAGGTATTGTATTAGTTCTTGCACACAATAGTGCTCTTATAGCGTATACAGTCTCTGTTATTACGTCTTCCAAATTTCTAATCAAAAGGTTTTGGTTTTCAAGTGCTAACTGTACGGTCTTCCATATTATGTCATTGTATCTCACGCACTGTCTATTCCTTTGAGGATTGTATGGGGAAGTCTGGTTTACAGTATCTGTCTATATTTCTGCGATGAGGTATTATGTACACTATTTACATTATTCGGACTGTTGTCCTCATCTTTGTCGCCATATTTATTACAACGTTTCGGCCTTTCAGTATCTGTCTATATTTCTGCGATAAGGTATTTTGTACACTATTTACATTATTCGGACTGTTGTCCTCATCTTTGTCGCCATATTTATTACAACGTTTCGGCCTTTCAATATCTGTCTATATTTCTGAGATGAGGTATTATGTACACTATTTACATTATTCGGACTGTTGTCCTCATCTTTGTCGCCATATATATTACAACGTTTCGGCCTTTCAGTATCTGTCTATATTTCTGCGATGAGGTATTATGTACACTATTAACATTATTCGGACTGTTGTCCTCATCTTTGTCGCCATATCTATTACAACGTTTCGGCCTTTCAGTATCTGTCTATATTTCTGCGATGAGGTATTATGTACACTATTTACATTATTCGGACTGTTGTCCTCATCTTTGTGGCCATATTTATTACAACGTTTCGGCCTTTCAGTATCTGCCTATATTTCTGCGATGAGGTATTATGTACACTATTTACATTATTCGGACTGTTGTCCTCATCTTTGTCGCCATATCTATTACAACGTTTCGGCCTTTCAGTATCTGTCTATATTTCTGCGATGAGGTATTATGTACACTATTTACATTATTCGGACTGTTGTCCTCATCTTTGTCGCCATATTCATTACAACGTTTCGGCCGTTGTACGCTCCGGCCTTCTTAGTAATAAGAATTACAGAACTTCATAACATTTACTTTTTACTCTTAAAAAAAAAATTCTTAAAAAAATTAATAGAAATATTTTATAAATAAATATATATAAATTTCGAACGACGGTAACACTGGTTGCTCGATAAATGAATGCTGAATGTTTCCTTATAAGGAAACGGCTACTGTTTCCATTATCATATAAAAATATCACTAACCGTACACTATTTACATTATTCGTACTGTTGACCTCATCCTTGTTGCCATATTTATCACAAAGTTTCGGCCGTTGTTCGCTCCGGCCTTCTTCAGGTGGTTGGAATGTCGAAATGAACCCTTTATTTCGCTCACTAGGATAGACTGTTCTAGTTCCACGTGCCATATCTAATTGATGTCAGTTATCTCCGGTTAATTCCCCACTCGAAGTTCTCCACTGTCTTAACCAGGTATAGAAACCACACTCTTTGGGTCCTGTCACTTGATCTAACGCCTTTATCCACTGTGCCATATGTCCTTAAATATGGCGACAAAGATGAGAACAATAGTCCGAATAATGTAAAGAGTGTAAGATTATATTTCTTGATAGCCGGCCAAAACCGTTTCAGATTGCGACTGATATCATCCCAGTCATGGCGGCACAATATCACATTATCTATATAAGCAAAGGTGCCTTGTAGTTTTTCTTCAAGAATTATTTTATCGAGGACTCTCTGAAAACTTGAAACCCCTTTAGTGACCCCAAATAGAATCTGTCGGAACTGATAAAGTCGTCCGCAGGCTTCAAAAGCCGTATAAGGCTTATCTTTAGGGTCTATAGCAACTTGGTGGTATGCAATCCTTAGGTCTAAGTGGCTAAACATTCTGTCATCTCGTCAATACGGGGTATAGGCTTTTCATACAGGAGGGTATACCTATTTATAGTTTGGGTGTAGTCTATGACTATCCTTTTTATTATTATTATTAAAGGAGATTATTAATACTTGTACCCTCCATGGTGATCTGAATTCTTCCATTATTCATTCTCTTAATATTCTTGTTACTTTTAATTGAATAAATAATTTGTCTTCAATGGAATATTTGCGATATTTGGTTGCCACTGGTTGACAGCTTTTGGTTAAGTTTTCGAAAAGAGAGTGGCATTGTACATTGATAGCAGCCAAGCCACAGATGCTCAACACCGGTTTAGGGCCCTCAAAAGAGAGATTAATATTAGAATTCTATTTGAGGAAATTATGGCTCAGTATGACACCGCAGCACAGCTTTGGAATTACGAAACATCCAAGTTCTTCACTACCATAACCAGGTATTGAACTTACACTCTTTGGGTCCTGTCACTAACTGACGCCTTTATCCACTGCGCCATTTGTCCACGATGACATCTGCGTATGAATTTCTGGGTATTATAAACCTAATGTCTTCAGCAACCAATTTCACCAGTGCCCATATTGCAATTTTTGCTGTTATCATTGCATGTTTTTGCCCCCTCTCGTAGACTTTATGAATTTAAACGCAGTACTTGATTGGAAATTAGGTCTCATCATTTTAAAGTTGTAATGGTTAGACATAACCGTAAGTTCTGTTAACAGTTTCTTCCATTGAACTTCTCGCTTGTGAAACTTTCTTCCGGCTTTTTGCTTTCCAGTCAACTTTGATCTTCAAAAATTTAAAAGCATTGTCAATCGTTATCTTCATCCTTCTTAATTACTGTTCTTTTATTGTCCTCTCTCATTAATAATATTTCCTCTTTCTCGTATTTTATCACATTCAGTAATCTCGTTGTGTCTTAGTGGATGTATTGCCTTGCTTGTATCGGGTGAAATGATTAAAAAACTTTTTCAATTTACAAAAATGTCTTCTTCATGGAAAGATGATATTTCTTCTTAATTAAAATATCTGATTTTATCTAATTTAACATTGTAGATTGGCGAACAGGTATCATCATTTTACAGTTGACATGTGTAGATGCAACCGTAAGTTCTATTCTAACGGTTTCTTCTCTCGCACATGTAAAAGTCTCCTCTTGATTATCAGTCAATTTTTGATCTTCGAAAA